CGAGCCGCCCTGGACCGCGCACGGGGGCTCACAGCCTCTGGCCGGGTGCTCAGTCTGGGGGGGCTCACCACCTCCCCGGGGAGGCCGTGCAGTGACGAGGGGTCTTTCCCGATTGTTCCTGCTCCCCATCCTCTCACAGGCCTGCACCCCCTCCCACACTTCCTGGGCAACCAACTGCCCCTCCACAACAGCACCCATGAGCCTGGGGCCAGACAGCCCTGGAGGTGGGGGCCACGGCCGGCCAGGGGCTGCCAACGTGCCAGGCCCACCAAGGTGGAGGCTGCCGCCGTGTCCACCCCAAGGGCCAGAGGTCAGCGGCTTCAGACACGGTCATCCAGGCGACTGTGGCACGGGCACCTACCCAGTGGTGGGGGTGGCGGGGACCCCACAGGTCAACCCGCTGGATGGATCCCGACCTTCAGATTCCACGCAGTGTCTGATCGCTGGCCGCCCCCCAACCCGCCACCAGCCCGTCCCCCGGAGACAGTCACAGGTCTCTCTGCTCTCCTCTGCTCTGACCTCCAGTGACTCCCGTCCCCCCAGCCCCCAACCCTTCCCTGACCCTCTTACCACTGAGCCCCGGGCCTGCTCGCTGCCCCTCCAGCCCCTGGGAACCCCCCTCCTTGGGACACTGCCCGGTGCTCCCCGAGTCCTGTTCCCTGGCTGGGATCGGCTGCCTACTGCCCTCATCCGGTCACCGAGCCTGGCTTCACTCCTGTCCTCCCTGACCCGCTGGAAGGAGGGCGGACGGGCGGGCGTCCAGTCCGGTGCTGCCTGGCAGAGGGGGCCCGGGGCACCGCCGCCCGCTCACCAGGATGCTCTTGTACATGTTGCCGTTGTCCACGTCCAGGCTGACCCGGATGATGCAGCAGTCGCCCACCTGCTGGTTGTAGAGGGAGACACCCAGCTGATGCCCGAGGTCTCCGGGGACGACTGGGAGGCCGACTCCCAGAACTGTGGGGACGGCACGGTCGGCAGAGGCCCCGAGCCCTGCAGGGCGCCCCAGGCGGTGGCCCAGCTCTGGGGGCTTTCTGGCCCCTTTCGTGGGTATGGAGGAGGGGGACACTGGAACCCGGAAAGGAGGGGCTGCAAAGGGCTGGGGGGCAGTCACCTTCTTTTCCTGGCCGTCGGGGGACTCAGGGACAAAGCTCATGGTGATCTCCTCCACGTCGGAGCTGGAGGAGCCGGCCGAGTGGACACTGAGCGCGTCGGCGATGTCCCCACCGCTGAGGTAGGGGCTGCACCTGAGCTGGTCGCAGGACTTGGAGTGCGAGCTGCCGCCGGTGCTCAGCTCCGTGCTGGGGGCCTGGCGGCTGGAGGGAGGGCTGGGTTACTTGGGGGAGGCCTCCCCTGGGACACATCCCATCCCCGCCCCCCACACTCTGCTCCAGGCACCCCACTGGCTCAGGCCATGTGACATCCTTTCAGAGGAGGAAACTGAGGCCCAGGGAGGTGAGGTGACTTCCCGGGTCACAGGGCTGGTCCGTGGAGGAGCTGGGATCTCAGTTCCCGCTGGCGGCCTCCCGCTACCCCCCAGGGGACCCCCAGCCCGTGGCACCCACTCGCTCCAGCGCTTGACGATGGCCGTGCTCTTCTTGGCCTTCAGGGTGTTGCTGGCCAACTCGGAGGGGGGCTCCAGCTCACAGGACAGGCTGTAGCTACGGGACAGGGCGGCAGCTGTGAGCTACTGGAGCCACGCTCAGTCTCCCTCCCGGCATGTGCCAGCGGCTGGAGTGTGGGCACCCCGCCACCTCGCCAGGCAACAGGATCAATGCTGACAAGAGTCCGTGCCGCAGGCCCTTGAGCCTGTGACACGCCCTCCCTGCCCCCTCACCTCTCGGCCTCGCTGAGCCGCGCTGTGGCCTGGAACCAGGCCCCGAACTGCTCCTCGGGCTCGATGCTGTAGTTGTTGCAAGCGGACTGCAGCAGCTTGATCTGGGCGATCACTTCGAATTCCTGGGCCAGAGGGCAGGGCGGGGCGGGGAGGGCCTGAGTGGGGTGCTGGGTCACCGCCTCTTCTCTGCCCCCGCCCAGGCCTGACCCGATCCTCAGCTGGGTTCCAGCAGCCCCTCCCCAGGAAACTGTCCTGGGTGCTCACTCCTGCCCCCACCCTCCTCTGGGAGAGGGTCTCCCTTCTGCACCCAGCTTTCCCCATTAATACAACGGGAAGGGGGAAGCCAAGGGGGTGCCTGGGGGCGTCTGGTTTCCCGCCCCAAAGTGAGGGCAGCGGCTGCTCACCTTCCTCCTCTTCTCGAAGTTGATCAGTCTCCCCTGGAAGGCAGACAGCCAGCGCCCATCAGAAAGCGTCCCCATGCCCATGACCACCCGGCTCCCCTCTCCGGCTGCACTACCGACAGCGAACACCAGGGGGCAGGGCATGCACACAAGCTTAGACCTCGGGTGGGTCCTGGGAGCTGGGCGCTGGGGAGACCTTCTCCAACTCTTTGAGGACAGATGGAGCGACTCAATCCTCGGACAAGAAGACCCTGCTTGGCTACCACGGGCCTGACCGTGGAGGGTATGGCCATGGGCACGGCTTGAGGGAGGGGCCGTGTCCAGCTTGGCTAAACTCTCCTGCAGCTCTGAGCCCCACGGCCAGATGGTGAGCTGGTTACCCACTGGTAAGAGGGGCAGCCGCCCCGACGCACGGGCCAGGGGCTGGGGCTCAGGGCTCGCTGAGGGGCGCTCTCTCCTCGGGCTTCGGGGCCTGCCCCGCCCCGCCCCAGCTCACTCACATACAGGTAGTCCTTCATCGCCGTGTCCAGCATCACCAGGTCCGTGAGAAACGTGCCCAGGTAGGGGATGGTGCCCTGGATGACACCCTGTGACATCGAGGTGGTGAGTGGGGTCCACGCACTCCCCCGGGAGCCCCTCAGCCTCAGCCCCTAGCCCCAACCCCGGGCTCCCGCTCGGAGCAGCCTGGGGACCCTTAGGCGCTCATCCCCCTTCTAGTGCCCATGGCCCCCAAACCCTCCGGTAACCTTCCAGACCTGGTATCTGGCAAACCCCCAAGATGATGAGTCCCTGACCCTCCCCGCCCCGAATCCCCCAAGCCTGGGTCTCAGGGCCTTGCCCTGGTGGCTGCAACTAGTCCTCCTCGACAGCGGCTGGTGAGGGACGGCCCTGCCAGGCCAGAGGCAGGAGGGCAGCGGGCGGGGGACGCGGGCGGGGGACGCGGGCGGCCACCCCGCGCTCCGGGCCTGGGCACACTCACCGTCTCCTTCGGCCGCTTCTGGGCTCTCTTGGGGTTCATCTCCAGGGTGGCAAACTTGGAGGTCCCCTCCTGCCAGAGTTGAGCATGGGCTCAGTGAGGCCTTCTGCCCTTCGCCCTTCGCCCCCACATGCACCCAGATCTGTCTGGTCATTTGGACCCACACCTGGGCAGCCCCTTTGGGACCTGTCCCCTGGGCAGGCACGGGACCTCCCCTGGGAAGTGAGTGCAAACAGAAGGGGGTGGCAAGGGCCTGCCCAGGGCACAGGCTGGACTGGGCAGGGAAGGGATGCCCACCCAACACCATCACCACCAGCCCGGAGGGCACAGTAGGAGGGGACAGCACGGGAGCAGGACACCTAACCCTGCCAGGCCGCCCACCTTCTAGAAAAGCCCATTCCCCGGGCCTCCTGTCCCTGCAACTGCCCCCACCTGCCCACGCCCAAACAGGTCCCCCTCTCCCCAAAGGTCCGGGCAAGACAGGCCGGAAGTTTGCAAAGACCTTCTGCTGCGAGGCTCCGCCCACCTCACCTTGACCAGCAGCTCTCTGCTCAGCGAGTAGTTGTTCTCATCCGAGAAGATCTCCGACAGCTTCTGGAAGGCGCGCACGCTGTCCCTGGGGGGGGAGGGTGTGAGCGCAGACCCCTCCTTGTAGAGCCCAAGGGCCCTAGCTGCCGGGCGCTGGTCCCACGGTCCTAGGGCTCCGTGGGCCTGGGGAGGGGGCTCTCAAATGGGTCACCTGGGAGCCGTTCCCAGTCCTACTGAGGCCTCCGTTGGGACCAGTTTTGACTTTGTGGCTCAGACCAGGGCCTGACAGATAGGGAACCTGGGTCCTGAGGTAGATCTGCTGGCCTAAGGCCAGTGGGAGGTTTGCCCCCCGTCCACCCCCCACATGTGGGCCCAGCAGGTCGCAGGCTCCCCGAGGGCAGGGCCCAGCCCGGAGGCCGCCCACCTGGACACTTCCTCCCACGTCTTCTTCAGCCGGTGGATGGAGTTGCTCTGCAGCGCGGAGAGGATGGCGTAGAGGGACGAGAAGTTCTTGAGGACCCGGCACTCCTGGGGGCAGGGGGGCAGCGTGAGGGGGGCTGGCACCCCCCTTCTGGGTGAGATGCCCGGGAGCCCCCCTCCCAGGGGACCCGTGCCCCATGAATATCGCTGGGGCGTGGGAGGGACCTGAGCTCAACCCAGGAAGGAACCTGGGCACTGGGGGGAGACAGGTCAAGGTCATCAAGGCCCTGAAACGGAAGGGCTGGTGCCACAGACCACAGCCCTGGGAGCGGGTGAAGGCGGCAAAGGGCTCCCGCATACCCTGGCCACCTCGATCCAGTGCTCCACCACCCTGGCCCGGGCCCGGGCCGTGACGCTCCGGTCCCCGAGGCAGGTGGTGATGACGCAGTTGGCCACACTGTTGAACTGGCTGACGGTGGCCCGGACGGTGGGAGCCAGGTGCTCCTTGCCCTTCTTGTCCCGCTGGGACCAGATGGAGCCCAGACAGTGGTAGGGCACCACCTTCTTGAACAGCTCCGCGTCCATCAGGGTGAACTGCTCCGCCACCAGGTAGGGAGGAAACGCCAAGAGGTGAGGCCTCTCCTCGCTGAGCCCGTTCTCTGCAGCCACAGGCGAAGGCCAGGGAGGCCCTGGTGCGGGAGCTGGCTCTAGCTCCAGAGTTTGCGACAGAGCCGGTTCCAGCTCTGCAGTTGCTGTTGGAGTGGGTCCCGGGGCTGGCTCTCGCTCTGGAGCTGGTTCAAGAGCGGGCTCAGGCTCTCCAGCCAGCACTAGCTCTTGCTCTGATGCCAGCACTGGACTGGGCGCTAGAGCTGGCGCTAGACTGGACGCTAGAGCTGGCGCTGGAGCTGGCTCCTGCTCTGAAGTTGGCACAGGACTGGACGCTAGAGCTGGCGCTAGACTGGGCGCTGGAGCTGGCTCCTGCTCTGAAGTTGGCACAGGACTGGGTGCTAGAACTGGTGCTGGAGCTGGCTCTAGCGCTGGAGCTGGTGATAGAGCTGTAACAGGAGAAAAGTTCAGCAACACACCTGCTTTCCCAAGACAAAAACCACGCCACTGCCTTCCAGAGAAGCCTCAGCCCAGGACGCTTCCCCACCCGCAGGCAGGTGGGTGGGCCGAGGCCAGTCTTTGCTCTCCAGGCCTGCCCCACGCCAGCCTCTAAAGGTTCCTCTGTGTCCAGCACTGACCCCTCCCCAGAGTCCCCCCCCATTCTCCTCACCCTCCAGCTCCGCCTCTGTGAGCTCTGTGCTCTCCAGCTGAGCCAGGAGCAGGTGCGCGCGGCGCTCCAGGTCCGAGCCAGGCATGTTGAGCTGCACGTAGGCCACCAGCTGCTTGAGGCAGGGGAAGCCCGGGGGCTGGTAGAAGTCCTCTGAGTACTGGTCCAGCCAGGTGCCCAGGATGGAGGAGATGGCACTGGGCGGGGGAATGGGGGCAGCAGAGTCAAAGGCCTGGCTCCCCCTCCATGCGGCCCTCCCATGGCCCTGTGGGGGTTGGACTCTGGGCCCGTCCCTGTCCATCCAGAGGCCAGTGCCCCTGCCCACCCAGCCTGGTGAGCAGGCAGGGTGCCCTCCATTGACCGTGTGACCACTTCCCCTGCCCGGAAAGCCTGATACCCTCTCTGACTATCTCCAGCACCCCCCACTGGACCATATGCTCCACCAGGCTAGGGAGGGGCTGCCTGCTCGGTCCTGGCACAGACTGGCACACAGTGGGTGCCGCCTAACCATGCAGGGAGGAGGGACCAGCAGCGAGTGCCCTGCCCAGCTGTCATGGCCCTCGTGGCAGCTCAGCCTCAGCTGCTGCCCGATGTGCTGCCCTATTCTCTGTGCCTCGTCTTCCCCTGACACTGTCCGCGGGGAATGGGCGCAGCTGCCCTGGCCCCACGCGCAGTTGGGCTGGGAGGATGAGGTGGGGCCGGGTGTGAGCCGGGCGCTCCCACACCACCTGTCCCAGGCGCCCAGACAGGGACAGGGCAGGGACGGGGCGAGCAGGCTGGGCGGGCTGTGGGGAGGACGGTTCTCTCCGGGGGGCTGGCTCTAGGTCCCCGGCCTCCCTCTGCTCCCTGGGGCCCGGGGCCCACCCACAGCTCCCCACTCTCCCTCCTGCAGGAGCCCTCAGCCCCAGGGGAGCAGGGCCAGGGTTCTGCCCACCCCGCAGCCTCGGAGGCCCTGCCAGGACCCGAGTGCACTCACTTCCTCAGGTGGTCCTGGGGCCCGCCGTCCTCGTGGGGGTAAGGGAGGATGCATCCGTATCTAGAGGAGGCGGTGAGGGCGTCACATCTACCGAACCCGCTGTGCCAGCCGCTGTGCTGGCCGCCCGCCCCCCGCTGGGCCAGAGCCTGGAGGGCCGAGCTGCGTTTTGCGCTGAATTATGTTCTGTGCCCAGAAAAGTGCCCACACACAGGACGGGCTTCACAAATACGTTTGTGGGATGAATGAACCCCAACGGGCACCTCACAGATATCCGAGTGGGCCTGGGGCCCCCAGCCTGCCCCCAGGGCCCTTGTGCTGGCGCTCAGGCAGGGGACCCCCAGAGAGAAGCTGGAACCTCTACTCAAATGAGAGCTGTTTCACCCCAGGGCACAGGGCGACGAGGCTGGAGGCAGAGAGCGGCTGCTTTGGCGGGAGAGTTCGGTCAGCCCCCCGCAGTCCCGACAACCCGGGAGGTGGCTTGTGTTCACATGAGCGAACTGAGGCTCAGAGAGGGCAAGTCGTTTTCCCGGAGACGCACAGCAGCAGGTGGGGGAGCCCGTGCTGCCGAGGGCGGGGCGCTCACCGTTTGAACAGCAGGTCCAGGACCTGCTGGGTGGTGGTGAAGGTCCGGTAGGTGCACAGGAAGATGGTGACGTAGGAGAGGTCGCTGCCCTGGAAGGCGGGCACCAGGTGCTCCACCAGCTTCTCCAGCGTGCCCGCCTTCACCGTGCGCACCTTACAGGTCTCGTACAGGCTCAGGGCCGACTCATTTTCACACTGGGGTGGGCAGAGGAGGGCCAGGTGGGCAGGGGCAGCAGCAGGGACCCCCAGAAGAGTGAGGGCTGGAGCGCCGATGAGCGCCCAAGCTCGCAGGGACTTGTGGCAGGAGGTGGGACGTGAGTGTCCCCCCAGAAAAAGGCTCTCACGTTCAAAAGTGGATCTGAGGGGGTGACGGGAAGGGCCAGGCCTGCAGGCCATGTGCTAGCTGCGCAGGACAGCCCCTCGCTGTGGGAAGAGCATCACCCGGGCGCCCTGGCGGGAGGGAGCAGCACGGCAGGGCATGCGGGCACTCAGCACAGGGCGGTGCCAATGGCCACAGAACCCGACCAGGTCCCAGGCCCAGAGGGGCTGGATCACCGTGGCAACCGGCCGCCCTTCTGGAAGGCCGGCCTCGGCTCCAACCTGGAGGGGCCACGGGCTGTGCTCGCCGAGAGACCAAGTTACAGGCAACTGTACCGAGTAGCCAGCCCCCACCCCACCCTTTTTGGGGTGAAAACAGCCCTTCCTAAGTGTGGGGATGTTAAGGCTCAGGGGTGTGGGAGGACAGACAGGAGGACAGCTCCACGGGACAGCGGGGAGCAGCAGCCAAAACAGGAAACACGGGCCAGACGCACAAACACTCCCAACCCAGCACGAAGGGAAAAGGGAAGCCAGTGGAAGTGGCCTTCCTGATGTTCACACAGATGTGCGAGCAGCGGCTGCACCTGGCGGGGGGCGGGGCTGATTCCTCTGGGAGCAGGACTGTGGGGCCCAAGGGCAGGAAAGCCCTGGGAGCAAGTGGCGCAGTCCCAGAGCGGCACATGGAACCCGGGCGCCCCACACTCACCCCGAGCCGGCGCTGGCCCCTGCTGGCCGCGGGGTGCACCTGCACCTTGCGCAGGGAGATGGAGTAGACGACCCCGTTGACCAGCTCCTCGCCGATCTCCTGCGTGGAGCTCTGCAAAGACAGCGCCCAGAGCGGGCGGGGGTCAGGGCCCTGCCGGCCGACGCTGCAGGGGGTGCCCCCTGCACCCTGTTCCCCGGGGGAGGCCCCGATCAGTGGCCACACACACCTCAGACCCAGAACGAAACAGGAGGACTGCCTGAGAAGGGGACCCATATCAGGGCCACCCCTCCGGCCCTGCTGGCCAGGAGCTGGGTGTGGACAAGACAAGCCCTCCTTCAACAACCTGCTCCTGCCCAGGGTGCCCCCCAAGACAAGCACTGCTGCTGGTCACCTCACAGGTGGCAGGCACGTGGAGGCGGAGAGGAGAGCAACCTGTCGGAGTCACGCTGCTGCAGGCGAGCGGCCGACTGGGACCCCACGGCCCGCCAGCCAGGCACCCAGGGGGACGTGCGGCCCTCCCTCCACCTCCTCCGCGC